GCAGCGTGGTGCAGCGTGGTGCAGCGTGGTGCAGCATATGATGCTGCAGCGAGGGGCAAGATCAACATCCATCCAGCCGCCATCCATCCTTTGGCTGGCTGCTCGTGCGTTGCGGGCAGGTAGCAGCAGAGCTCATTTCCTATTTGCACCGCCTTGCTGCCACCATCATCTTCGTCTTTCTGCGCCTCAGCCACATCTCCACCGCCGGGTTGTAACGCTTGTCCACGCACTGACCGCTGCCATCGTCTTCTTTACCTTTACCTTTACCTTTAGGTGCACCGCCACCTCCGTCTCTTTCAATCTCTCGCAATGTCCACGAGACGCTCAGCCGCTTCGAGCGCGTCACCTCGCAAAGAAGCGCGTCGATCTCAAGCTCACTCCGCAGCTCGCTCATCCCACCACGCTCCTCGCGATCGACAAAGCGTGGACCTGAAGGACGATTCTGAGGCAGAGGTGGATGCGCAGATGGAAGGCGATGCAGAGGATGTGGGAGGGCTATCTACTTGGGGCAATGGAGAGCCTGATCAAGCCGAAGCTCCGTGAGTGCAGCTCAGCCACCGGACAGAATACTTTCTCGCGGTCAGCTTACACATAAACCTGATCTTTCGCCCGTGGTACCCACACGATGACCGGCACACAGCGGAATTATACTGGCGATGAACACGTACTTGACAGATCCTCGTGGGGACGTGGAGAAGTTTGAGCAGCTTCTGACCAAGCTGGACTCGAGAACGGAGAGCAAGCTGCACAAGCTGGGTCAGTTGGAGCAAGAGGATGCCGGTGAGTAGCGAAGGCACATCTGCGGGGCGTCTCAGTCGCACAGACGTTGTCGCATCGCCGAGTCGCATACCAAGCTGACATTCTTCACATCCACCATACTTTCTACGTAGAGCTGAAGACGCAATTGACAAAGCTGCGCTCCCAGACCACACGTGGTGCATCCGACTGGAGGTCAAAGGCGTTGCACTTGGCGGAGATGGACAAGCTCGAGGGCAGGAAGTTTGATCACCTGAAAAAGATTACGGAAGCTGAAAACCGAAGGGATGGTGTGCAGGCTAGACTGGTCGAGGCCAGAGATGAGGAGGAGGAATTAAATCGTGGCAAGCCTCTGGAGCGTGGAGAATTTGACAGGCAAGGGTGAGTATGGAATTCTCGGTGGTGTCTCGTCTCGCTGTTGGGCTTCGGGGTACTCACCATCTGCTCGGACCTCTCCTGCTGTCCCATCCACAGACTTCTGCTCTCTATCTACCGCAAAGTCGGATTCCACCCAATATATGCTAGCGATCAGACCAACGCAGCGCCCACCGCACCTTTCAAATCCCTCAATTGCGTACCAGCGTCCAGGAAGCGCACCACGCTGCACAGAGTCGACGAAGCCTACTTGCGCGAGACTGGTCAAACACCGTTCTGGACCGCCGAGCAGTTGTGGAAAGCTGTCGAGTAGAGCTGCAGCACTTCGACCCGCATTATCAACAAGCTGGGCGGGGCAAGTCAGGCCGCCCCGCACCAACGATATCAACGCGCATAGGAACGGCTGGCAGTGTTGGCAAGCGCGCTCTCGCCAGACTGTATCTCCTCATCGTGCTTGAGACATCGCGAGACTCTCTCGTGCGTGACAGCAACAAGCTGGGAGCTTGATGTGCGCAGCAGCACACGAATGCGCTGCGACCGATGCTTGGGCTTCCGACCTGTGACCACACGTGTTCGATACTCCGCTTGTACTCGACTAGACTAGCTACGACTGTACCGAATATATCGCAAGTCCCTCGCTGCCTCCGCTTCTCATCCAGCGAGCTGCGAGCACTTCGTCTGTGACATGTTTTGCGAGCACTTTGGGACCAGGAGGTCGATAGAAATCCTGGCGCGCCATCTTGATATACATTTGCTTCGAAGGAACGCACAACAGTAGGACGAAGCGCGAAAGCGCGTTCTTCCGCAGGCGGTGCTGCTTTGGGTGCTGCTTGGTTCCACGATCGTTGATGCGGGCAACACGGTTGGGCAAAGTTTGCGGGGCCTCCTTCGCGCTGCTTTTCTGCCGTTTGGGTACATCAGGCAAGAAAAGTGTCGATCTGAGCAAGGGTCAAGCCACAAGGACGTACACACCCTACCTTTGTGGTTGTGTTGCGCATGCTGAGGTGCCCGAGGTGATTTGCGAGGCTCAAAGGTGGGCATAGCAAGCTAGTGCACTGGTTGCTGCATTCTGGCGCCTCCGCACACAAGATAAGGAGCTTGTTAACTCCACCCAGAGACTGGCTGCTGAGCTCTGCATTGTGGACTTAGCTTAGATTAATTGTGCTAGGAGCAGGCTCAGTTGCCCTAACCTTCAAGTCTACATTTGAGAAGCCTCTGTGGCCCAACCCAGATCACTCAACCATTTGCTTTGAAAGTCAAGACTACTGTGACTCATGATCACCATTCACGATTGCTAGCACGTGCTGAAGGCGCACGCGCGAACGCGCCCATACGCGCAGTCTTAGTTGCTCGCGGTGTGCTGGATGCAGACCCAAGACATACACCGATATACAGTACACGCATCCACCGCTCAAGCCCATCATCCAGCAATCGTGAATGATTCTCGCTTGTAAAGTCATCGCGACTGCCGGTCATCTAGACGTGTTGTGACGTTGTGATTATGCCGCCATCTCGCTTTGCTGCAGTGTCTCGATGGCGCAACTTGGAGCTCACGGCCGGCAAGTCGAGCACCGGTAGGCACGAAGAGGTGGGGCTTGGTCTCCCATCCGATCCCAACACGTGCTCCACAATCCTCGATCTTTGTTCAGATCACTCAGGCTCGCGACTCCTCTTTCGATCCAACACCTCTTCAACTCACTTGTCCATCATCTCCAATGCTTTTGGAGAGCAAGCATTCGGCAAGCATGCTCGGCGCCTCCCCTCTCTCGCAGCTGCACCACCTGGCGCTGGCTCGCTCGCGGATTTTGCGATAGAGACATGGCAAGCCAACCCTCTGCTTGCGGCAGGCGGGACGGACGGCGCTATTGCCATTCGTAGCCTACCATTTCCCGACCAGGACAGCTTCGAAGCTCAACTTGAAAGATCAATTCCGTCCTTGGCAGTCAACGGCACTCCTACAGGCCCTGCAACCTCTCTGACCTGGCATCCCACCAGCAGAGGCATTTTGCTGGCAGGCACCGGCAACGCACTGCGACTTTGGGACGTACAGAGCACCTCGCCTGAACCCACAACAGAGTTGGACTTGGATAATGTGGGCGTGCTCAAAGCTGCTTGGTCGTGGGATGGCAAGCTTGTGGGCGTGACTAGCAGGGATGCAACTGTAAAGCTGTACGATCCACGAGCATCCTCATTACGACCAGTCTCTTCAGCTCAAGCACACGCTTCGAAGATCAAGCCGACCCGCTTGACCTTCGTCTCAACATACTCCAATGCGCTCTTGACGACCGGCTTTGACGCCATGCGAGCAAGGGAATGGGCGCTGTGGGATCTTCGCGCTAGCCATTCAGCTGTTGCGAGATCATCTTTGGATGTCAGCACCTCTCCCCTCGAACCAGTCTGCGAACCAGACAGAGGTCTAATCTTCTTGACCTCCCGCACCTCTACTAACGCTCAATGGCTTGACATCGGCTCGCAAAGCTCCTCGAGTCCTTCAGCAAGTGGTAGTGTCCCTCTGGGTTTGCCAGCTGGTGGGCCTCTGGTACTCGCTCCGACGCAGGAGCTGAACGTGATGCGGGGAGAAATCGCAAGACTCGTCATTCCTGGCTTGCCTGGTACGGGAGCGTCCAACGATTGCATCGTGCCCGCATCCATCACCATACCCAGAAGACAATATATCGACTTTCACGCAGACCTTTTCCCTGACTGTATGGATAGGCGTTCGCCTGCCCATACCACCGCCACGACTTGGCTAGGGGGTGATGACGCTCAATTGAAGAGACGATCAATGGATCCTGACCACGCTCAATGGACCGGCCCGCCTCCTGCAGCGGGCGCCATGGAAACTTCTAGCGCTCTGAGACCTAAATCAGCGGCTGCAGCTAGCACAGATGCTGCTCCCGCCGCTCTTGAATCGAAGCAAAGTCTTGCAGCTCTGGCCGCTCGGAACGGTGATGGAGCGTCGGCCATTCGCGCACCGGCACCTAATGCCAAAGACCGGTCGCTGAATGATTTGGAGCAAGGCCCATCTCACAACTCGAGAACAGAGGCTGTACCGAGCGATGTTGCAGCAGAGGCAGCGATCGTGCGCAAGACTGCAATGTCGGACTCGGTTGACCCACCAGCGGCGGCCAGCACCAGCGTTCCACCACCCAGCAAGAGACAATTTCTTACATCCGCTCCCAAGTCATCTACAGCAGGCATGCCTCGATGGTCCCGACGCTTCATCGCTGGTCAGACACCCCTCATCGCTGCGCACCAAAATCTGGCTTCGCTGGACATTTCGCGGGCTCCCGATGCACGAATGCTGGCGGTCAGTACCGAACTCTTTGTCTTCCCTGTGAGCGGCCCCGGTGGAAGACTGGGTGTACAGAGAATTTCGCAGACTGGTCGACTGCCGTCTCCCACGCCTGCGTTATCAAACGGCAGCCTGCTCTTGGACTTCGTCATCGATCAATTCAACCCCCGACAAGTCATTACCGCTGCCGAAGATGGTCTGATACGCGTCTGGGATGTGCCTGATGACCAAGAGGCCGCAGAATTGCCGGATTCTATGAGCACTCCTTTGACACAATTTGCTCTTCCCGGCGGAGGCAGGAGCGGAGAGCTTGCCGCGCATCCACACGCTCGAGGGCTCTTGGCTGTAGGACCGACAGATCCTGAAGGGTCACTGCACTTTCTGGATATCAGTGAGCCGAGCAGCCAGCGGGCAATATCGCTCGACATTCCTGGTGGAGGAGCTTTCAGCCTTGCGTGGAGTCCCAATGGCAAGCATCTTGTGGTGGCAGGTAAGGACAAGACGCTGCGTATCGTCAATCCGCGAGCAAAGTCAGACTCCACCAGCCACATTGCTGCTAGTGCGGAAGCACACACCAGTTCCCGCAGCTTCCGAGCCATGTGGCTATCTGATGAGGTGCTGCTGACGGTTGGACATGGTGCAGGCTCGGCGAGAGAGCTGCTGGTGTTCCACTTGACTCTAGATTCGTCAAGCAGCTCTGCGACACTCAGGCGGATTGCTCGACAAGGTCTCGACGTCTCTCCTGCAGTGCTGTTCCCTCATTGGGATCGGGATACAGAAGTGCTCTGGCTGTGGTCAAAGGGCGAAAGGTCCATATCCTCTTTTGAGATCAGACTCGCTTCTATTACCAGCGCTTCGGCCAGTCACAGCAGTCCAAGTGACATCTTCACGACATTGCCAGCGTTCCAACACTCGCAGCCCCAGCTCGGTCTCGCGTTCTTGCCGAAGACCTCTGTAGATGTCCGCAGCGTGGAAATCGCCTCCGCTGTCAGGTTGTCGCGCACAGAGTTGCAGCGCGTCTCGTGGAGAGTGCCGAGAGCCAGGGTGGAATTCTTTCAGGATGATGTCTTTGTGCCGACGCGGGACGAGGCGGTATCATTGCTAACGGCCAAGGAATGGCTCGAGGGGCAGGATGCACTGGTGAATCACACATTGATAGATCTCAAGCCCTCAGATATGACGCCGCGTAAGTGCAATGCCGAACACAGCCCAGTACATTTTGCCGTCCTTGCGCGACTGAGGAGCTAATCTCCATTGACTCTCTGCCCTGCATGCAGTATCACGAGCACCCGCACCCACGCAGACCTCGCACTTGCCGAAAGGACCTATCAAGCGCCAAGAAACGGAGAGCGAGCGTAACGACAAGATCCTTTCGTCCGTGAGTGCACATCATACGTTCCTTACGCGGAGCGGCTGGAGCTCACTCTGCAGGCACCACGTCTTCGCTTCAGGTCTTTGCGAAAGCCAAGTTGGACGAGGCCGATCGAGCTGATCCGAGTGCGAGGAACGCTGCTGCAAGGAGGGCACCGGATGATGATGATTGGGGCAGCGACTAGTCGTCGAAGATCAGGACATCCCTTCATCTGGCTCTGCCCTCGAAATGCATGCATTTGGCTAATGCTCTCTGAAATCTCCACAAGGCCGAGCCGAGCTTAGGGTGTCGTCCGTCAAAGATCCACGCGTTGGTTGGAGTCGCGAAGGGTTGCGCGGGCACTGCTCGCGCATCAACGTCGCAGCTCGGCTTTGGTAAGGTCGCTCGCAGTCAAGACAGGGATCGACGGGCACCTGAGGTCGCCCAAGTTCAATCACGAGACTTGACCACCTTTGCATCCCGTTCTTGGGCTCAAGAGAAAGTGCGTGAACGCAAGCTTAAGATGCGCTACTTTGCCAAGCGCATCTCGAGATCTCG